AAAAAAAAAAAAAAAAAAAAAAAAAAAATCCTGATAGAAGACAATGGACGGAGACTCCCTCCCAGGCCCCAACACTGACTCACTGCATAAGCGCTGACATGACCTCAAGTCCCAGGGCCTCCAAAAAGGAATAAAGCCCTGGATATGCCCCCCCTGCAACTTTGACATCTTGCTCAAGGACAGCACAAAAAATAAGCTGGAGAGAGGAAGAGATTACCAGCATCCACAATTTAGAGTTCTAGAAGATTCTATAGGAATGAAAATGGGAAGAAGCTTCTACCTCCTCAACACTTGAGTGAGGACATTTGCCCCGCCAGAGACACTGGGTAGGCTCCCGAAGGTTAGAGACGGCACGGGGGTGGGGTGGGGTGTTACTGTGTAGGTTCTGAGACCCCACGAGGAAAGGTGGAGAATGGGCAGAATCATGCAAATCACAGAACTGCTGTTCTTTATCAAGAGATACATTACCATCCCGCGTTCTCCAGTAAGTTCCGCAAAATGGTGGGCGGCACTAAGCAGTTGTAATAGCCCATGCCAATATATGACCTCCAGATCTGGTTTTTGCTTGAGATGGCATGCAGAGTTGTAAGGATTTCATTTTCACCTGATAGTGGAAAGACAGAAATGTTACAGAGAGAATATGTCTCAGAAGAGAGCTGTAATTACAGTTTAAAAAAATGAATATTTATGTGAAAAGAACAGCTATATGGAAAATACAAGAATCATCGGTCCAACCAACACGAAGTACTATATGCAGAAATCTTAAAAAAAAAAAAAAAAAAAAAACCAAAAAAGGACTCAATTTCTCCTCAAGGTTGGCTTCTCATAACTTTTTTTTTTTTTTTTTTTAAAAAGATGACCGGTAAGGGGATCTTAACCCTTGACTTGGTGTTGTCAGCACCACGCTCAGCCAGTGAGCAAACCGGCCATCCCTATATGGGATCCGAACCCGGGGCCTTGGTGTTATCAGCACCGCACTCTCCCGAGTGAGCCACGGGCCGGCCCTTCTCATAACTTTTTTGACTCTTCTTTTCTGGCTCTTTGTTTGCCAAAATTGCCCAATTTTTTTTTTTTTTTTTTTTAAAGATGACCGGTAAGGGGATCTCAACCCTTGACTTGGTGTTGTCAGCACCATGCTCAGCCAATGAGCGAATCGGCCATCCATATATAGGATCCGAACCCGTGGCCTCGGTGTTATCAGCACCACACTCTCCCAAGTGAGCCACTGGCCGGCCCAAAATTGCCCAATTTTAACACTTGTCTTATTCCAGGTTTCTTCTGTTCCCTTTACATTTCTGTTGTATTTACTCTACATAAAAATTTTGTCTTACTTTCAGCAAAATATTAAATTTCCACTTTTTTTTTTTTTTTCTTATAAAGATGACCGGTAAAGGGATGTTAACCCTTGGCTTGGTGTTGTCAGCACCACGCTCTCCCAAGTGAGCTAACTGGCCATCCCTATATGGGATCCGAACCCGTGGCCTTGGTGTTATCAGCACCACACTCTCCCAAGTGAGCCATGGGCTGGCCCTGAATTTCCCCTTTTAAATTGCCTTATGCTCTCTGGAAGCAGGCAAGGTTTCAGTATTAAATAACACATAATCCACATTTTCTCTAAAATTGTCCTACTGAGTCAAACGTTTTTCCTTTGTGTCACTAAAAAGGGCTACTTATGGGCCGGCCTGTGGCTCACTCGGTAGAGTGCGGTGCTGATAACACCAAGGCCACGGGTTCGGATCCCATATAGGGATGGCTGGTTCGCTCACTGGGTGAGCGTGGTGCTGACAACACCAAGTCGAGGGTTAAGATCCCCTTACCGGCCATCTTTTAAAAAAAAAAAAAAAAAGGGCTACTTATAAAAGGCCCATCCCCCAACAATATAAAATATCAGTTGTAATAAAAGACCCACATGCCATTTTAACCAGCATTCCCATTAAGGCACTTAGGTAATTAAGTAAGAATTACAAAAGTTCTTAGATGCAGGTAAGACCCCATATTGGGGATCATTCATATAATAACATCAAAATAATAATAGCACCGACATTTATTGAGCACTTACTCTGCCAGGAACTGTACCAAATAGTTTCTGTGCAGCCTAGGAAACTGAGGCTTGAAGAGGCTCACTTGCCTGAGGTCACATGGCTTTATGTTAAAGGATTACTAATCCAGTCTCTCTAATTCCACATTCCAGACTTTAACCCATAGAGCAAGGTTGAGACCTGCTACATAAATAGCACTTATGGGCCGGCCCGTGGCTCACTCGGTAGAGTGCGGTGCTAATAACACCAAGGCCCCGGGTTCAGATCCCACATAGGGATGGCCAGTTCGCTCACTGGCTGAGCGTGGTGCTGACAACACCAAGTCAAGGGTTAAGATCCCCTTACCGGTCATCTTTTAAAAAAAATAATAATAATAAAAATAAATAGCACTTATACTGAAGGGTACTTTTTAGTTACAAATGACATTATGCGGTTATTTCTGTGTCCCTCTGCATATAGACAGATCATGCTACTCAACTTTAAACTGCAATTGAACTACTTAGGCAAATGTCTGGCTCCTTTAAGATCTTCTTAAGGAATCAGTCACTTAAACCCTGGAATTGATTGATTTTATTGTTACTATGTCAGAGAAAAATCTAGGTACTGCAAAATCTAAGACAGCCAGCTGGCTAGGAAGATGGTTCACATTGTTTTAACCCTACCGAACTCTATCTGGATATTACTCTCATTAATTATTCTTTATCTTTAATGAAACCATGTTCACCCTCCGCCCAGCTCTGACACACACATACCCCTCTCCCACTCCGCACACTTTCAAAGGAAATAAATTCACAAGTGATGTGTCACTTGGCCAGAGCAGATTACATAAAGAGAGGACAGTTCTGTAAGTATCAGTTTTATGAGTAAATATAATCTAACTGCCTGTGGAAGATGATCTTGTCTTCTTCCGAAGAAAGTCTGGGAAATAAGTGAAAGTACAATAAATCAACAACTAAGGAGATAGGCAAGGACAGCAAGCTTAAGAAAAACCATGCAAGATTTTTCCCAAGTAAATAAATAATAAATAAATATGCACACAAATATATAATAAATAATAAGATTATTTTCCCAAAATTTTATTTGAAAAAACTAATCTTCTTAGGGGCAGTGTGATTCAGAAGCCCAGTAGGAGGGAGATTAATTAGCAGTGCCTGGCAGGCAGGGCCAGCTTCAATTAAGATCCTGTGCAAGAGCGACAGGTTCACTGCTACACATTATGCCGTGAGAACAAAAGGTCCAGCTCTCCAATGAGAACAGTCTGTGAAGGGCTTTGTCAGATCAAGAGTTTAGTCTTTGCAAGTCACAGAGTATGTTCAAGCTAGAGAATAATATGATTCTTTCCACATTATAGAAAGATAATTCTATTAATGGTGGAGAGGTCACAGAAGGGAGACCCTGGACATAGGGAGATATGGTAAGAGGCCAGCACAACAGTCCAGCAGGGAGATGGGAAAGGGGAGTGTTCTGGGTTGAATTGTGTTCCCCAAAATGGCATGTTGAAATCCTAACCCTTGGTACCTGTAAATGTAATGTTATTTGGAAATAGGATCTTTCCAAAGATAAAGTTAAAATGAGATCAAACTGGCTTAGGGTCAGCTCTTATCCAATGATTGGTGTCCTTATAGGAAGAGGGGAATTTGGACACAGAGACAAGCACAAGGAGAATGCCATGTGATGATGGAAGCAGAGACTGGAGAGATGCATCTACAAGGTTACTTCAAAAAAATCACAGAAAGATCTGTTTTACCTTTTAATTCTTTTTTTGGCAGCTGGCCAGCATGGGGATCCAAACCCTTGGTGTTGGCATTACAAAACTGTGCTCTAACCAGCTGAGCCAGTCAGCCAGCCCATTTCCATGAAGTTTTTGAAGTACCCTTGTACAAGCCAAGGAATGCCAAGGATGGACAGCAACCACCAATAGCCAGGAGAAAGGCATGGAACAAATTCTCCTTCAGAGCCTCCAAAAAGGAACCAACCCTTCCAATACCTTGATTCTGGACTTCTAGCCTACAGAACTCGGAGACAATACGTTACTGTTGTTTTAAGACACCCGGTTTGTGGTAATAGATCATGACAGCCCTAGCAAATTAATAAAGGGAGCTGTATCAGCAGTTTTCAGGAGAGGCTGTGCTACCTTTGGGCCCTGCTGGCCAGTTAAACCATGCTCACAAGCTCAGGTGAACTCCAGCACTGGGCCAGACATTTTCCCATACGTTGTTTAGATCCTACTACTGAAAATAATCAACCCAGATAGTGCATACCAGTGTCTTTACTCAACAACCTTCTTGTCTACTGGCACAAGAGAGCAGGCACTACATTTCTGGAATGTGCTGAAAGTCTGTGCAGAGAGGAGCAGTAGCTTCCCCACAGCTCCTCAATGTGACCCGACCAGATGTCAGAGCCAATTATCCAGCCCAGCGGTCTGCGCAGGGCATGGCTCGCTCATGCTCATAGCCTGAGGTGGGAAAGGAAAGGCTGGTCTTGCTGCTGCTCTGCCACTGGCTGGAGCAACTCAATGGCTCGTTTCTAACTGGGTCCACACCTGGGGAAAAATAATATAAATGGTAGATGAGATAATTAGAAATAGCTAAGTAGAAATTGGTGGGACTCAACAGGATTATTTAGACCAGTAGTCTCATAGTTAGTCAAACTGTCAACATGATCCTCCAGTGCAGATGGTAGATGAGATAATTAGAAATAGCTAAGTAGAAATTGGTGGGACTCAAAAGGATTATTTAGACCAGTAGTCTCATAGTTAGTCAAACTGTCAACATGATCCTCCAGTGCAGAAACCTCTTTCCCCATTCCTCTGCCCTGAGAGAAGATTTGGAACCAGAGAGATAGGAATTTAGCTATTGTGCCGAGAGCCACAATTATGGTCCCTCCTTGGGTAAAGTCATCTGAAAAATTCAGTTCAAGGTTCAGGAGCAGATCATGGAGGTGACAGGAGCCATACAGCTCAGTGCTGGAATTTGAGAAGAGTCCCGAATTAAAACCAAACCCCAGATATCCTCCCTATGGGAACACAAGCTACCACCCTCTGCCTTTCTTGAACAAAAATCCACTCTCTTTCCCCATCTGGAGCTGCTCGAACATATTGCTTTGATTTTGCTTGTAGACCTTTAGAATTTCTCTTTTCTACTGTTTTATTTCCTGCTCCTGTGATAGTAACCCTCACTGTCTATGCTAATTCCAACCGCTAGGAAAGGTAGGGTTAAGGTTTCTATTATGGGTCTGTCACAGGCCATCTCCTGAGGAAGGAGTAAGATAGGTATGCAGGTCTCCCCAAGGGAAGGGGGAGGCTGGGATCCCTAGGGCACCACCCCAGTCCTGACAGTCAGCTCCTCCGCTCCACATTTCTCAGTCAAGAAGCTGAATTGGGGGCCGGCCCGTGGCTCACACAGGAGAGTGCAGTGCTGATAACACTAAGGCCATGGGTTCGGATCCCATGTAGGGATGGCTAGTTAGCTCCCTGGGTGAGCGTGGTGCTGACAACACCAAGTCAAGGGTTAAGATATCCTTACCGGTCATCTTTTAAAAAAAAAAACAAAAAAAAGAAGCTGAA